ACTACAAGACCATTGCCAAGCAGACAATTGATGCAATTATTTCCAAATGGAAGAAACACAAAATAACTGTAAATTTCCCTTGGTCTGGGGCACCATGCAAGATCTCATCTTGTGAAGTTTCAGGGATCATGAGAATGATGAGGAATCAGCCCAAAACTACACAGGAGGATCTTGTCAATGATCTCAAGGCAGCTGGGACCATAGTCATTGGTAAGACACTACAACGTGAAGGACTGAAATCCTGCAGCACCCGCAAGGTCCCCCTGCTCAAGAAAAGACATGTACAGGCCCGTCTGAAGTTTGCCAATGAACCTCTGAATGATTCAGAGAACTGGGTGAAAATGTTGTGGTCAGATGAGACCACAATCGAGCTCTTCGGCATCAACTCAACTTGCCATGTTTGGAGGAGGAATGCTGCCTATGACCCCAAGAACACCATCCCTACTATCAAACATGGAGGTGGAAACATTATGCTTTGGGGGTGTTTTTTTGCTAAGGGGACAGGACAACTTCACCGTATCAAAGGGATGATGGACGGGGTCATGTACTATCAAATCTTGGGTGAGAACCTCCTTCCCTCAGCCAGGGCATTGAAAATGGGTCATAGATGGGTATTCCAGCATGGCAATGACCCAAAACACACGGCCAAGGCAAGAAAGGAGTGGCTCAAGAAAAAGCACACTAAGGTCATGGAGTGGCCTAGCCAGTCTCCAGACCTTAATCCCGTAGAAAATCTGTGGAGGGAATTGAAGGTTTGAGCTGATAAACGTCAACCTCGAAACCTTAATGACTTGGAGAGGATCTGCAAAGAGGAGTGGGACAAAATTCCTCCTGATGTGTGCAAAACCTGGTGGTCAACTACAAGAAACGTCTGACCTCTGTGATTGCCAACAAGGATTTTGCCATCAAGTACTAAATCATGTTTTGCAAAGAGGTCAAATACCTATTTCACTCATTAAAATGCAAATCAATTCACTTTTTTGAAATGCATTTTTTTGGATTTGTTATCCTCTCTCTCACTGTTAAAATAAAACTACCATTAAAATTCTAGACTGATTATTTCTTTGTGGGCAAACGTACAAAATCAACAGGGGATCAAATATTTTTTTCCCTCACTGTAACTGCAACTGGAATTGCCGGAACTGCTGTCGTTAAGTCAACGCAATCACATATATCACATTTTATGACTGCATTGTTTAGTGACAGAGATGCTGATGTCAATAATACATCAATAATACATAATTAAGCAAGGGTTACCTATTTGGGCTCACTTAAGTAGTTACTGCATAATGCCCACTTCAAGTCTTGGGAAACATCAAGAATATGCTATACATCTCCCCTCTTTCTCATATACATATTTTATGGACACCAAATCACTGGCTGGCTCTTGTCATAACTGTAACTATCATAACTTTTTCCTTAAAGTCTGTCCCAAGAATGTTGGCTTTAAAAAACTATAGTGTCAAGCAGATTATTTTAATTCCAGCTCTGTGCTTACCACTTTGTCAGATTTAAAAAGATCATTGCAAGTTAGATTAGGTAATGAGATAATTTATTGCACAATACTGACACAACATATTTCAATACAGTTTACACGTGAGGAGTTTGGGGGAATCATATTTTGTCTTAGCATTGTTTGCCATTTCAACATAAAGAGTAATATCCACATTCCAATTACATTTCACTTTTTTTTTTCCAGATGGCATTTTGGCTGCAATTTTATACACATTTATTGAAACCCGCATTTATATGTAGGACTGCACAAAAAGATCATAAGGAATCAACGCATCTGACTAAAATTATTTAAGTGTATAAAGAATAGAAATTACTAAATTGACATAATACATTAAGGATTACACATTATTTATGTAAAGCATTTATATCAGGATTATATTATTTATGCATGTAAATTTTAATTTATTTGTACTGAAGGACAGCGTGGGCAGATGTTTTAGATTCGCAAATCAACATAGCTCTAGGAAAATAATAATCCTATGTTCTTAAAAGTAAGTGTTCCACAGTGATTATTCTTTGTTTTTAGGATTGCAACCTAAATAATTTCTGAGGAGCATTTTTCTGAATAATTTCAAATTGTAGCAATGTGCAGCAGCCCATCCCTAAACACCATATTGATTGTGATAGCAGTAATTTTAATAATTAAATATACTAAGGTTCTTGACAAATTTTAGATTTCTACATTGGCCAGAAGCTACCTGGGAGGCCCAATACATCAGAAGATCATTAATCTCCCAGCAAACTGACCCTAAGCAAAAGATAGGCAGCCGGCATGCTAATCCTTAACCATTAGCTTCACAGGTCTCATGTAATTTGCTACTTGTGCTGTTGCTAGCACCCTATTCTATCTCTGCTCAACAATTACGCACTGCATAGGAGCCCTTGGGATTAGCAACCAGCAGTCACCCAAAGTAACAAACAACAATGACAGGAAAGAAAAACCTGATGGGACTACGTTAGTCCTGATGGGGACTCGTCAAATATTTGATGAACATCTAGATTCAAGAGAGAGACAGAAAAGTACATTTTCTAAAGTTTAATTATTCCTTTTTTGAAAATTCTTCTGCCACTATATTTTTCTCCACCAATGATATTTTCTATACACTACTAAAATTCTCCTGTTTGTGCCCTTCAGTTAGACCAGTGGTTCTCAACCTGTGGGTCGGGAACCCATTTGGGGTCGAACGGCCATTTCACGGGGGTCGCCAAACAACGCAGTCTGCCATTTTTTCCCCCTTTTCCTTAGCTGTGCTACTCCCTTTTATTCTATTGGCTTTTGAAAGCCAATAGAATAGACTCTCTTGAATAGAGTCTAATTCTATTGGCTTTCAAAAGCCAATAGGAATTGTCCAGGCTGTCTCTGCCCTGCTGAGCCCGCCAAAAGTCCCATTCTGCAAATGGTGCTGCATCAGTTGAGTAGTCCTCAACTTACGACTGGTTGAGTAGTCCTCGACTTACGACCGGTTGGGGGTCGCAGCATTAAAAAGGTTGAGAACCACTGAGTTAGACCAAATGACACATTATACCAGAATAATTTTTGAATAAAGGTATCTCAAATCTTCTAAGTTAAAGGATGTGTAAAATATGTGGGACCCATTATTCTTGTGGAATTGAAATTTACTCATTGTTTATACCTATCAGGCGAAAGCAATTGGAATTACTCGTGAATAGGCCCAAGTAGATCATTTATTGGTGATCACCTATGTTACAGGAATCTTGTCAGACTGCCTGCTTTCCCTTGGGAAATGGCAACTATAGACCTAAGGGTTTGATCTCAGATGTTTCCTCCTCCAGATTCTAAGGTGAAATGACTCCTTATTCCCACTAGAGAAGGCCCCTCACCTTCCACCAATGGTTCTACTACATTGCCAGTTTAGTTCCAAATTTCTGACTGTTGTAGCATTCATGCAGTCATATCATATACTTGATAATATGATGATGGGAACGTTCAGCATGGGAACAAAACCAATATGGTCAGCCTAATTATGCCGTGTGGAAAGAGAGGGGGGATATTACAGTCAAGAGATGACACCAAACATCAGGAAGCAGCAAAGGAGAACACAAATCAGATGGGAAAATTTACCGTTCATTCTGGTTACATCGGACTGCACTACCTTTCTCTCAAAGATAACTCAACAGGTAGTAGGTTGTCTAGTAGAATTCCAAAAGGATGGCAACCATTGATCCAATCGATTACCATAAGAACATAAGACTTTGTCAATCAAAAAGTGAGTACATGTTGCTAACTCATCCATCTTAATTTGGCTCAACCTACTATAATATCTTACCTGTACTGAAATTATACATTCTGCTAAGCCATACTTTAAATATCACTTTTAAGTAAGCTGTGATTGGCTGAATTAGTGCAAACACTGATCCACAGCTGTATGGATACCAAGGTAACTGAATCCACATTACAATCAACCCAATTCAACAAATCATACTGTAGCTCAGTAGTTGGAAGAAGTACACTGAGTACTATCGGACAAGGAGATGTGAAATATTTTTCTTGTCTCCATCTAACCTTTATATCAGGACATAAACTACTGTGATTGGCTCAGTTTCAGAAAATAAATTGCCGATCCATCTCTGCAAGAAAACATGTATTTAAAAACTATCAACAGGTAAAGCTCTCAGTGTAAAGACCAGGCACAATTCATTTTCATAATCATTTCATTTCATTTTTTATGAAGAATGTAATCTAGACAGCTTGAAGAAACCATAACATATCCAACAAATGAAATTATCATTTATCAGGAAGATGGAAATAAATTAATTTTCAACACATCTATACATACCCCAGCACAGATTTACAGTTAAAACAATAACTTTCAACATATCTATAATGCCCCAGCACAGATTTATAGTTAAAAGAATAACTTTGAACACAAACTTAAGGAATTTTTTCAACCATTTTCTTCTAAAAAAGTCACCTCAGTATTCAGAGGTACCTCATTCTTTTGTTCTAAAAGTTGTAACAATGAAATCATGAGCAGCAGAAATGGAAGTTGTACAAAATAAAGTGCTGCTATATACGTCTGCCACCAGGTAGCTACCTCAACAGCTAACTGAGTCTCTGCAGAAAGAATCCTTTGAAACATTTCACCCTGGCAAGATCCACTTTTGCAAAGCAGTGCAAAGCGAGTGAGGCAGTTGGACTGTGGAGGTCAGCTGTGTGCAAGAGCCCTTTAAAAACCTCTGCAAGCTCTGCAAGCAATATGATCATTCTTATCTATGGCTGTGACTATTCTGTAGTATCCGCATTAACATGCTTTCTTTTAGGAGGATTTTTCCTTCTTTGAAGCAAGAAGCATAGGGCAAATTCCGGTAAGCTCCACAGCTAGGTTTGGAGGACACATTCTCCTGCAAGATAGATAGATTCCAACACATCAGTAATACCACAGTTCACAGAACTCAGACCGGTAATACATAAAGAAGGTTTACACACCAGCTTGCTCTCTTTCGTGCTCCTTGTGCTAAGGGCCTACCACCATGTTATCTTGAATTCATAGATTGGGCGCTTGCAGTAGTAATGGTTAATCAAGTGTTTGTCACACACACCAATACATTGGTGGTCAACTGTGATGCCCCTGTTGGAAAGGTCCGTCACAATGCAATGGAGGAGGTCATACACATCTGCCACGGCTTCCCAAGGCCCAAAGGATACATCCACCTCACAATGGTGCTCAAAAAGCTTGGCCTCCCCTTCACTCCTCTCAAAACGGAGGGAGTTGAAAAGTGGACACTCGTAGGGCGTGATGGGCATCTCTTCTTTGAAGACACAGATCTTTAGCTTAGCAAAGCGTGCTTTCCTTTGCATTGCCCGCAGCTTAGCTATTTCAATGATTCGCTCTAAGTGCTCTAAAAAGCAAAAGAGAAACAATGATTGAAATACGGTGAGAGCACCTTTCCAGATACTGTTTTGTCATTAAATAATTTAACAAAGCGAAACAACAAAAATAAAATCCTCTTGCAACTGATATTGGTAAGAAACAAAATAATTATACAGTTAAAACTACCATCTTGATTTTTAAATTAACACCTGTTCTAAATTCTTAGCACAGCTGAGCACCTGATCTACCAACATACATGTGACTTAAAATGGGGTTTGCTGTATTTGGTAACTCATTCTTCCTTGTGACACATTTAAAGTGCTATCTATCTATCCTTGAGCCCACAAGGAACTGTTGACATAAGCCTTGCTGCCAACGCCAATCCCTATCCTGTCGCAAGTGTGCTGCTACCAAATAGTGATATCCTTACTGACTGTGCACAGCCCAGATTAAGGCAAGGAATTCAGTTGTTTCCCTTTACCCAAAAGTCAACTACCCCTTTAAAATGGGCTGGAATAGGAAAGGTGGTGAGCTTTGATGGATGATGAGTAACAAAACATCTCCCCACCCACCCCACATGTAATTGGATTTTAATGTTTGGTTTCAACTTATCTGTATGTATGAGTATATGTATACAATAGGTAAATTAATCAATGGGATAGTATTTGTTTATTTGATTGCTTGATTTCTATAGCCACCCATCTTAACAAATGACCATGGGTGGCTCATGATTTAAAACATGTTAGAATTAAAATCTTAAAAACATTTTAAAACAATAAAAATAATAACAGTAACAGTAAAAAAAATATTAAAGCGTCTAATTCAAAGTACACACAAAACAATCACTGGAGGTTTTAAAAAATAGACTGGACAGCCATTTGATTGGGATAATCTAAGACTCCTGCCTTGAGCAGGGATTGGGACTAGAAGATCTCGTTACAATATTTTTAAACATAGGTTTAGCTTTCTTATAGAAAAACACTAAACCTGTGTTTAAAAATAGCCTTTGCTAACAGTTAACAAGGATGCAGGAGGGTTGCGAGAGTTACACCACAGCATGTAACACTGTGCATGCCTCTCAACTATTAGGAGGTACACAAAAATGAGCACTATCACCGCATCATACAGCATCCCTCCAATATTGATTTAAAAAAACCTCTTTTATGGCACTAAACATCTAAAACTTGATTGAACTGTACATGATAGGCTATGAAGTGGTAGTATGAAAGCCAGCTTGTACTCCCACTTTATGCACAGTCACTACCACTAGCAGCCAGCTGTCATTCAACCAGTTGAGGTGACTGTACCAAGATCATCCCAGAGCCTATCAAGCTAAAGGGGAAAGCCCAATTTGAAAGAATTGACCTCTTACTGCCTATCAGTCCACCCAGAAAAACCGGACAGGAAACATGAGCAGATGAGCTAATTGTATTTTATCTTATGGCTACATTAACAGAATCTTGAAAGTCTGAAGGTACCAATCCCCCGTCTGATCAATTAGGCCAAGTCCTTCCTAAGTTTGACCATTAAGCTACTGGGGGCTCATCCCTCTCGTATGAAATTTCCTAGGCAGCATCTCTTCCCTTCATCACTTGAGATCATTCCCATACCATTACACTGCCAAAAGCAGAATGGTCCTTAGGGGACAGTGCCCTGGGATAGGGAGACATGGGCCCTCTCCAACCTAAAGGGGCCAATAGTTGCTGGGTTGATTCTACTCCCTACACTCATTTGACAGAACAATTACTTAAACATATCAGTTTGGAAAGTAAAGTTACTATGGCTTGTTGCCTGCTTAACGGGAATATACTACTTTAAAACCAGAAGAGCTTTAAGCTGTTTTAGGTATGGATTTGGGATAAGATGAAACCAGAATCATGACACTGCAGAAAGCAAAGGATATGTTTGAGATATGTACCTGACTAGGTACAAGTAGGGAAAGTCCCTAAATTCACTAAAATGAGCAAGAGCCAGAGAAGAGATTTTTTTTTTCATTTCTGAACTTCTAAAATGGTGACTTGGCAGAAGGCAATAAACCACAATTGCTACATTCTCAATTTACCTTTGTAATAGGGCATTAAGCCCAGGAAAGCCTGCCGCACTTTCTCTCCTTTCAGGGGCTGGAGCTCTTCTAGACTGTCTAGCAATGGTCCTATGGAATAATACTGAGCTTCCTTGTAAACAGACCTCACTCGTTCTCTTGGAGGTAAGTCACCAGATCGTAGAAAATTAAGTACATCCCTAAAAACAAAAAGGAAACAAACAGAACTGCTGAAATAGTGGCTACCTCTTCTCTTTTCAGAAATGTTATTGAATGTAGTGGTTTATTGTTATTTAAATATTTTTAAAATAACTAAAAACTCATCAAGTAGCATATTTTCATTTTAAGTTCTTAAAAATATAGATCGCAAGCACCATTTTTAAGGGCCAACCGCTGTTCATTTGTGCACAGGAAAAAGCACCTATGATGAAACTTGGGGTCAAGTATGTATCAACTATTTAAAGACAGAAAATGCAATACATTATTCAAGTAACTAAGACAGAACTATAAAGACAGTTTCCTGAGAATAAATTGCATTGAAAGTTGCAGCCTAACATATTGAATAAATAACTGAAGTGAAACTACAGACAACCAGCAATATCAGGGAGCAAAACAATGGCTAAATAATAATAATAATAATAGTAGTAGTAGTAGTAGTAGTAGTAATAGTAGTAGTAAAGTTGGAAGGGACCTTGGAGGTAATCTAGTCCATCTAGTGAAAATGTATCTAAAACATTGCTTTCTAAAACAGAGTACCTGTTGCAACATGGATGTTACTTAACCATGAATCTAAAACATTGCTTTCTAAAACACTAACTGTTGCAGCAACCTGGATGTTACTTAACCAAGTAGCAATCCTTGGCATGCTACATATTTTCTGTGTGCCCCATTCTGAAGAAAACATGAATGCAAAGGAAGAAGAACTATATGTACTGAATTGTCCTCATGATAAAAAAATTAACCTATAGCTTCAAGAACTTTGTAGGAAAAAAAATAGCACATAGTCAAATATTATGTACCCAAAATATGTTCCATCTCTGTCAATAAAATATCTGCCCTCAGCATCTGTTGGGATGTAATGCCGGCCACTGAACATGGCTGACAACATGGTATCTTCATGACGTCTCAGTGTTGATAGCCTGGTCATGAAATGGGTGCCTCCAACATTTAGTGGAACTACTTCAGGAAACTGAAAATAATAAATGGTTTTGAAAATTAAATATGGCATGGATAAAATAGAAAAGTGTTTTCATTCTCACATAATATCAGAATTTGGATCATTAATGAACAACAGGTAGTCCTTGACTTACAACAGTTTGTTTAGGGACCATTCAGAGTTACAATGGCACTGAAGAAAGTGACTTATGACCGTTTTTCACATGACCGTTGCAGCATCCCTATGATCATGTGATCAAAATTCAGACACTTGACCACTGAGTCATATTTATGACTGCAGTTTCCCAAGGGTCATGTGATCACCTTTTGCAACCTTCTGACAAAGTCAATGGGGAAGCCAGATTTATTTTACAACCATGTTACTAACTTAACAACTGCAGTGATTCACTTAACAAATGTGGCCCCAAGGTAAAATAAGGCAAATGTCTCAATTAGCAACATAAATTTTGGGCTCAATTATGGCCATAAGTCAAGGATTACCTGTAAAAAAATCCTCCAAGAAAAGTATATCTGAGTCCAACAATGTCTTCTCTTAGACAACAATTGTGGATATGTTTGCTAATCTATTTGTAGGGTATCAATCTTTTCAGTGAGCAGACTGCTTTATTTCTTGTAAATTTATTTTTTTTTCTCTTTTGAAAATATATGTTGATTTAAAGTTTGTATTTAAGGATTACAGATTTCATGAATGGACTATCTTTGAAGGAACAGTGTTATAGAAATTAATAATAACAACTGACAATAGAATCAAGACTGAAATAAGGTCCTTCTTAGATGATTTTTAAAAAAATTAGACAATTTTAAAGGGCTATCAATAGTTACAAGTCAAACAGCTATATTTCATTTGATAATACGTGGAGTGTCTATTTTAATCACAATGCTGGAATAAACATTGTTGGAAGCAAAAGATAGGGAGTTCCCAATAAATCCTATTTCTATCACTCTTAGAAGAAAGTAGGCAGGCAGACTTGAAAAAAGATAGTTGTTTAGCCAACTTGTGCCCAAACCATTTAATAAAATCATCACAATTTTGAATTGTGCTGAAACCAAACTGGTAATTAGTACATCTGCAGCACAGTTAATGCAATATCAATCATGTGAATGTTTATTCTATCTACACTGCTGCAATCTGGATAAATGATGTTTCTAGATAGTCCTCAAAATAGGTCCTGTATACAGCATCTGCAGTAAAAACATCCATGTAACATTTGTTTTAACATATGTTTCACCAAGGGCAGGTCTGACATTCCAAGAAGAGCCTAAGCAGGGTAAAAACATACGGTAATTGGGCACAGCTGCTATCTGAGCATCCAGAGACAAAGCAGTCCAGATGTATTCCTAAGCCTATATGAAACATAAAGATGAAGTATGCCACTTAATACCAATTACTGGGTTTCTACAGCACAGGCCGGTTTCTTGGAGTATTTGGCGACAAAGGGGGGAGGGAGAATGTTGGACTAAATTGATCTAATTCAGATAGCTTCAATGTTCATTTCATCATGAACGTTGAAACGTACAGAATCTCTGGGGAGACTGTATACAGAAGAGACAGAGAAAGGGTACATACAGATTCAAAGACCTTCACTAGGAACGACCAGTATACTCAAGCCAGTCTGTCTATCTGCAATAGCAAAATTATCTGTAAATTTTAGGAATTTTCACGCATTCAGAATCCTAATAAAGCAGATTTGGTATTCACAACTTTAGAACTACCAAGAAAACTGACTAGGTTTGAATAGAGGTCCACTAAGGATGCACAAGCCTCCTTTATCTGTGGTTTTCCTTATATTCCAAAACCAAGAATATTATTTAACATGTGGTGGGCCAACCAGTCAGCTGAAATGAACTTCCTTGAAACTCAGCTTAACTTAAAAACACACATTTAGAAGAATTACTCTTACATGCAAAGAGGCAGTGTAGAACAGTGGTTACACTACTGGAGTGGAAATGAAGAGTTCAGTCTCAGCCATAGAAACTCATTTGGTGATTTTGAACCACTTATTCTCTCTCGGTGGATTGTTGTGGGGAAAAATGAGTGCTGTGTAAGCTGCCTGGAGCTTCTGAACAAAAGGCAGGATAAAAGTCTAATTAAATAAAAATAAATACATGTGAAACCTAGTAGATATGGGTAACTTGGAAAATTCTTACTTGTCAGAATATTTAAAAGCCAGGACAAACATTGTAAGGATTTGAATTTATTTTAAAATATTGCTTCAGTGGAGTTATTTATTAATATTCCACTTTTGACCAGAATGAATTATAATAATAGCCCATCAATAAAGTATACTTCTATTTTCTTACAATAGTTATTTATCCCCTATCACCAAAGGTTCTCTGGGCAATTTAAATCAAGTCACTACCACAAGCTAGCCTGAACACAGAAGAAAAAGAAGTTTGAAAAAGTAATTCATATTCAGAACAGCTCTAGAGACACTGCACTGGCAACTCCCACAAAGAGAATATTGTATGTTAGCACAAGCAGAATAATGTACAAGGATACAGCATGTATTAAATCACTCACCTGCTGAGGAAGCAGGGGCAGCGAGTGTTCTGCCTGGGTTGCTGTTGGAGTGGCAGGCTCTTGAAAATCATCCTCTGCATCTGAGCTCGACATGGCATCGCCCAGGTGTCCACAAGCTTTGGTCTGCCCCGTGACTACAACCATCCCTCTGGTTCTTGTAACTGGGTCTGCTTGGCAGGCAGCCGTGGCAAGGCTAATGGGAAGTTGAGAGCCATGTTAATTCAAGAGCCCTTCTTTAAGGAAATCTAATAAGAATGGACCACTGTGGGGCAGCAGGCACTCAAGGATGCTCCACATTGCTGTTTACAAGTGTCACTGCTATTCTGGGGAAGTGAATCACAATCATATAGTTACTGCATCTGCAATTATCTACAAGCTCTGAGGGACATACCGTGGGAGGGCCCCCATTTACACAAAACACCAGGGAACCTTCTTGTCAGATTTCATAGCCAACCAAATCCCCAGTGGGAAATATGCTTCACTGACTGGTTGTTCAACTTGCTGTTAGTTGCAGGATTGTTATTTGCTTCTCCAAACTCAGCTTAACAATTGGGAATACCTGGTGCTGAGTAGCCATTTGGTAATCCCCAAAGCTGTCAACCACAGCTGCTCTCAGACTGGGCAGTCTGTTCTTGGACATTCCCCTGCTGAAAGGGGGGGAAATCCAAAATTCCAAAATCACAATACACAAAAGGAAATATTATTCAGCCAGTTTTTATAAATAATAATAATAATAATAATAATGAGGAGGAGGAGGAGGAGGAGAAGCAGCAGCAGCAGCAGCAGCAGCAGTTTACAGAAATCTACCACCATTAAATAGAATTTTACCATCATACATAGACAGAAATGGTTCTCTGGGAAGGGGGGTGTCATAACACTACGTATAAAAATGTGGGCTGCCAAATTTAAGTAGCTGATTTCTCCAGTAGTGATCAAGAAATGGAAATAGGAAATTAAAGGTGCTTTTTAGTTTTGTTTTTAACCTGGATTCTTATGTATTTTATTCAGGGATTGGTGATACTGCTTTTAATTAGCATTTCATTTTCTTGGTCACTTCAAACATCACAACACACAATGGCGCATAACATCTGGACTGCAAGTAAACAGCCCTGGAAAGGGGGAATTTGCTCATATGTTTGAAATAAAAAATACATTAGTTTTACTTTGAAGATGTATTTCTTGGACTAGGAACAATCTATGCTACAGAACACACTTTTTAAATCTATAGAAACTATTTTTGTTCCTATTCTACAGCATCTAGGAATTATATACTTATCCTGAATAGCAGCATAAAAGAGAGCCTAATGCAACTTTGCTTTTATCCTAGAAGCAAGATGGATAGTACCTAAATTTGATTAAATAAATAAATGAAAATATAGCAGGTAAAAAATACAGTAAGAGTTTATTCTAGTACACACTTTCAGATTTTGGTCCAAATTTTGTAGACTCATAAATGCAAAACACTTCATCAGCAAAGTTTTGGTACTGTGTTCTCCTAGTTGATATTTGTCAAAAAATATTTCTATTTATCCTTTTCTATCTTCATGTCCTTTTATTTTCTTTGTAGATTTCCACTTTATATTTTATATTGTAAATTGTAGACATGCAATTGTAGACATGCATCTGACACACTCTTTAATTACATCACAATATTTGTTCTAAACTGATTTTACAATTATCTCATCTAATAGATTTCATTACATGAAAAAATGTTCTCCCAATTTACAAGCCACATACCTATTTGTCTTCCTCATATAATTTTTGATTGGTGCATAATAATTTGTGTAAATGAATAGATCTGTTTGCAGAGTGGGTAGTCATATTAGTAGGAGGAACAGCAGAATCTTTTGGCATTTCAAACTGTCTTGTATTTATTATGATAGAAGCTTTAGTGGGCTCAGCCAAGATCCTCTTTTTCTTTTTGCTCTTACTCAATCTTATTCAATTAGACAGAATAACCTACAGATCTCTTTTCCAATTCACAGAAAGATCTTCATAAATCCATCCTACAATAAACCCACTCTGATTCTTAATCTTATTGAATTAACCCAAATTATTAAGAGATTATTGAGAACTAAAATACAAAGATGCATCATCTTTTCCCATCTGGTAGATTTTCATCCTCTTTTGCTGCTTAAGGAAAGCCAAATGCAAATCATAACACCCCTGCTTTGTCCATGGGGACTTGAGCACAGGTGGGCCTTTTTACCTTGTTGATGAGAAGAAGCCTAATGTTGTTTCTCAGATGATGCTGCATGAGGTGCAAATTACATTTACTGTAAGGCACAGCTTTCCTGGTAGAATGACACCCAAGCTAATCATAGGACAAAAAGTATCTGAGCTGCAGCCAGGCATGTCCAAACCCAGGCCAGTAAGCCACATGCAGCCCTGGACAGCTAGCAGTGCAACCCCACAAGATCGTAAACTTTTAACATTTATGTGCATTTCATATACATTAACTATTATATGCAGTCTAAGACAATTCCTCTTCACACATTGCAGCCGGGGCAAGCCAAAAGGTTGGACACGCCTTCTTTAGACTCCAGTTCAAATTTCACACAAAAGCTAAACAAAAATTTAAAACAATTGAGCCAAATAAAGACAATATCATTTACTTTCTCCATCCACACAGACAGCCCTCAACTTTATTGCTCCTTGTCCACTATATGGAGAACTGAAGTCCTATTCTAATAAAAGAACAGCCACAAGCTGGTCCCCCTCCAAGCTAGCATTCCCCATCCAGAGTCCACCAGATAATGGGGCTCTACAGCAGCCAAAATCCCCAGCCAGCAAAACCAAAGGTCAGGCTGGTTATAATTGTTGAGGATTGTAATCTGAATCAAATCAACCTTTACTGTCAAAGTACAACATGTGTACAGTAAATATCTGGAAGCTAAAATTAGAAAAGAACCCACCAAAGAGAAGGGGCTTCCTTTTCCTCCCTCGCCCTCCGTTCTGCCACTGAGTAAATAAAACAAGTCTTGCTTGGCAGAAAGCAATCAAAAAGAAAAAGAATGGGCCAAAGTTTGGCCCTTGCTAAGGACCACACCCAAAAGGGGGTAAGTCTGCAACTGCCACGCTCCCAGAGGGCCCTCATCTCGGGGGGGGGGGGCAGAAAGAAACTGGGCTTCTTCACCTGCTCCTTTTGCCCACGCTCAGAAAAGGGGAGGAGCCTCAAGATCACTTAGTGCTCGGGGCGGAGCCAGGTTGCCGTAGGAGGTTCTGAGACCGGCCTTCCATGCGCTCACCTGTTGGTCTATTCGCCGATGAAAAATGGGGGCGATATTTGCTGCCACCAAAGCTGGTTCTCCTCGTTGCCTCCCGGATGAATTGGAGTGATATTTCGGCGCTCCTCAATCAAAGCCTGGCTCCCCGACCGCCTTCCCCGCCCCGCAGGCCTCCGCCATCCGGGTACTTTGGGATTGACGAGGACAAGACAGATTATAGGCTGTCCAGTGGACGGAGTGAGGCCAAAAAAGCTCCGCCCCCTTCTCTGCTACATCCCCCAACTGGCTCAAGCCCTTTTCTATCTCCCATGGCGACGAGATGCAGCAACGGAAGGTCTCCGCTCCAATTCTCGCGCTTCTTCTGGTTGCCAGGGAAACCGAGGCTCACAACGAGCAGCCGAAGAGATGTATGGAGAATTTAACTTGCTCCGCCAATAAATAATGAATACGCTTCGTCTCTGTTGTTTGCTACCTTTTATTATATCTTCCCCTTGAAATGAAGTAGAGCAATTCTCCTGTGGGGAAAGGGAGATAAATGTTCCAAATGATGGGTGTGTTCACACAATGCACTTACGTTACTTTATTGTTGAATTAACCCATTTTCTGGACTTACACAATATGTTAAATAGTTTTTTAAGGGGGGCAATTGCCTGGTGGTGGTGGCAATCTGTCCACTGAAGTGTAATTTAGTATGTGAAACTTAATGATTCAAAGTAACAGAATAACATAGTAGGAAGGGATCTTGGAGGTCTTCTAGTCCAACCCTGTGTTCAAGCGGGAGACTCTATACCATTCCAGACAAGTGGCTGTCCAATCTCTTTTTAAAAGCCTCCAGTGATGGAGCACCCACAACTTTTGAAGGCAAGCTGCTCCATTGGTTTATTGTTCTCACTGTCAAGAAATTTCTCCTTAGTTCTAGGTTGGTTCTCTCCTTAATTAGTTTTCATCCATTGTTTCTTGTCTTGCCTTCTGGTGCTTTGGAAATTGGGTTGATTCCCTCTTCTTTGTGGCAGCCCCTCAAATATTGGAACACTGCTATCATGTCCCCCCTAGTCCTTCTTTTCACTAGACTAGACAAACCCAATTCCTGCACTATTTTTATTCAAGAGTACTAAAGTGGATAGTTAAAATATGTTACTTGCTTCATTATTTTAGAGTACCTCAATAGATAAAACAAAAATAAATTTGATCTGACAACGTATCTATTTTAGAGAGAATTGGGACTCTTCCAAAGAACTTGGTGCACAGGGTCTGTGTGTTTTAAAAAGCCCTTGGCTTGAAACCATACATCTTCCTAACAAGATGGGCTTGTATAACAAGAACAGTGAAATTAAAAGTACTGTATTTAACATTGATGTGGAAATACATCTGCTAAGACTTCATCGGATTTAAAGGCAAAGAAAGGACAAACTAGGATATAGAGGTACTCTACTTCTATGAGATGAAATTATAAGTCAAATTGATAAACTAAAAAGAACCAAATGCTTGGTATAGATGATATCTACACGTCATGACTAGAAGGAACTATTTTTAATATTAAGCAAAAATTAAAAATATGGGAGCATAACCTCAAAGTGACAGGAGTTCAAAAGTAATGTTAGAAAGTATTATTTCCTAGGAAGAGTAGTGGAGGCCTGGAACCAATTTCCAGTTGAGATAGTGGGTCAATCATCAGTAATTAAATTTAAACATGCTTGGGATAAACATATGTCCATCATACAACAATTAAAAAAAAAAAACTCAAGGACATACTCGATATATCCTTGGTCTTTTTCTGCATTTTCTATGTTTCTCTGAGCATGCAGACATGAACAAGACCTGGATTTTCAAATAGAATGAAAGAATAAAGAATATTTGAGGGCAATTCATTTAACTTTTGTTTCAGGAATATTGTTGGAAATACTGCATTGTTAAAAAGAAAATAAACATCTAGCATAAAAAATTTCCTGAAAAGGAACAACCATGGATTCCACAAAGGCAAGTTATTTCGTTAACTTTTTAAACTAACTGACCTGTCCTGGAATAAATGGCAGTTACTCTTTTGATTGGCAACAGATTAAAAGACAGAAAGCAGTAGGATTAAGTGGATTTTTTTTTTCCAAATGGGAGAGATGCACATAGTAAGAGTTCCTCTAGTAATAGTGATAGTACAGTGCTTTTGAGCAGTGTATCACTCAAATTTATCACTCAAATTGTTCAGGGGATACCATTAGAAAGATACAAAGAAATACTGCAAAAGAATCGATCCAGACTGGGTAAATAGGCTTCAAAATGGCAAATGCAGTTCAGTGTAAAGAAGAATATACATAGACCTCAACTACAACAGTTCATTTAGTAACCATTCAAAATTAGAACGGCACTGTTTTTTATGCTTATGACTAGTGCAGCAACCATGGTCACATGATCAAAATTCAGATGCTTAGTAACTGTGTCATGTTTGCAGTGTCCTGGGATAATGTGATTATCTTTTGTGACCTTCTGACAAGCAAAATCAATGGGGGAGCCAGATTCTCCTAACAAATGTGTCACTAACAACTGCAGTGATCCACTTAACAACTGACAAGAAAAGTTGTAAAATGGGGAAAACTTACTTAACCATCTCACTTAGCAACAGAAATTTTGGGCTCAGTTTTGTGACCATACGTCAAGGACTATCTGTATTAGCACAAAGAATCCATTAATGGGAAGGGATGGTAACTGATCAGGAATAGATATGACAGCCAGAAAAGCTGTCAGTAGCATTTTGGATAGTTCAGTGAAAATATAAATCCAGATTATAGCTGCTGTAAAAAAAGAAAAAAGAAAAAGTAAGCAATTTCCATGCTTAGTATCACTAGGAGAGAACTTAAAAATAGAAATGTGCATAGGCTTGAGATAGTACTGGTCACTCTTGTGGATAGAAGACCTTTTTAGAAACCTGGATAGAAATCCTGCACCTTTTCTAGTCTAGTGAGGTGGCAAGTTTGACATCTGTTCTACATCTTTCAGCCTTATTCAATGCTAATGACCACAGTAGGTCTCTTAACTGCCTGCAAGGATTGGGGATTAACAACACTGTTAGTGTTCAAGGTCATGTACTGAAACTAAATTAATACGGATCAAGCTATCAGGGGGAAAATAGCCAGGCTTTCACCTTATACCTGAAAACTGAGTCAGAGCCAGATACTTTTCAGACAATAATGAATTCAGTACCAGAAAGGTCACCTAAAAGGCCATTCAAACAAGTTCTCACTGCAAAGCCTCTTTTTCATGTATCAGACAGATTTATTTTTGAAAACAAGTAAAAAAGACATTTTGTTCTCTTGGAACAAAACATTTTGGAAAGCTTTATTTTAATGTTTGTATAACTTTAATTATTAATACTCTTATTATTATTTTAACATTAAATAGCCATATTTTAAATATTATTTTTACAAGCTGTCTCAAAAGCCTATCTGACTGGCAAGATAACATTTTTTAAAAATATATATTTTGTATCTAATCTCAAATTGCTTTTTCTGTCCATTCTCCAACCTTTAAATCATCTTAACTCAGAAAGTCAGACTCAAAAATTTGCCACATTTAAAGCTTTTATTTTGAAAAATAAAATACAAAAGCATTTTGTATGGATTGTAAACCTTTAAGTTCTTTCTCGCATCTCAGAAACCATTTTTAAATAATTAAAACATAATTTCATAAATCAGCTAAATTGGTAAAAGGGTGGGGTGGCAACAGGCACAAGCACCATTTTCCACAAATTAAAAAATTGCCCGAGGAAGGTAAAGCAATACACACAAAGAAGTTGTCTGCTATATGGTAATCTAATGATGGATGTGAACTATGTGTGGAGTAAACAGTTCAAAGGACAAACAAAGGTGTATTTAACATAGACATTCTGTGCACTGGTTCATTTCCTGTATTTTATGAAGAAAAGCAAGGGCTAAACAGGCCATTCCTCATTTTTTCATCCTTGTGAAGCCATGACTGCCAATCATCCTTGGAACGTATGCACACAAAGAAACCAGCATGCATCAATATGGACACACCCTGCAATTCACGCATGAGGTTTAATGTGTTAAATTAGCAGTCTTATGAAAAGCATCTCAAAAGTTAACATATCTGACATCCTAAATCAATACTGAAGATACCATAGAGTTTCTTCTGAGCTTTTAAAACAGTTGTGTAAATAGGAATCAATGCAATTTCTAGTGCTTGAGATTCAATCTGCCAATATCTTCTGTATATTAGTGTCACAGAGAATAGGAAGCAGGCCATGACTCTTCCAACTCCAAAATGTTTCATACAGGATGAATTCCCACCTGGAGTCCTTCTACTTTAATGTCTTGATCTCAGAACTATTCCCTATAAATACCTCCAGCATTTCAGTTGGGCTGCTCTGGAGTCACAAGAAAGATTGAGAGGTTTATATGTCATTATGAAATGGGGACATATTCTGAAGAATCAGATGTTTGTAGATTTTGCCATTGTGCTTTCTTTAAAATGTCTCCAACATTCCTAGTCAAAATAGAAAACATAAGATTTCAGTACATCTCCTCAGGGTTGGGCAATCCATAATTCATGTACACTTGTTTATATAGTCTCCCAATCTCAATACTGTATATAGTCATACGAACTTACTGTACATATTCTGAATCAGGCCCAAGACAGTATCCAAGGTAAAGGATCTAAATAAAACTTCCATGTATGCCAAGTCCAAGAATGTACAAATTAATAGTTAATCTTATCTGTTTCAGTAGCCTCTTCTCAGGGCAGATTTGCACTAACAATGTCTAAATTTGTATTAAATGTTACTGCTCTGATTTGGAACAGATTAACGTTTTGGCTGATTTCTGAAAATCTGAGATGGCTGTGATTGTTGGCTTTTTATTTCTTTTCAGAGCATTAATCTTCACTTGTCCACTAGAGTGAAGCTCTTCTCAGAGACCATTTTACCTTTATAGCTACTTCCTGGACTGGTCCTGTAATTTGTCCAATTTACATGGCTAGTCTAGAGGATGATGCAAAGCAGTTATAGAAGATACCGCCATGTATCCTACTGAGTGGAGAGGATATTTTTACCTCTCCAAAGAAGAACCAAGACCTTCAACCATTTCACATATTTTCCAAAATTAGTAATATTTTGTTTCTGGGAAAAGAGAAATGCTATTGTCCTATTGCACTTTTCAACTATCTTTGCCTGCAAAGGGCATGATTGCTGCCTACAAATCACAGGGACAGTGAGTTAATTATACAGAACATCTCTGTCCCTGGCAATCTAAAAATTATAGGGTTATCAGTGCATGTAACATAGATGTGTGTGTGGACAAGAATATCAACCTTGCTGCGTCAAGCAAAATCAAGCTTTTAATAGCGAGTGCCACACAAAGTGCACTAACCAAACAGGTGGTAAGAAAATAGGGGAACTCAGGCACCACACAGGTTATATAGAAAGTAAACACAGGGTCAGTCATAAAGGACTCAAATGTCTATATACAACTGCACAGAGTATGAAGAGTAAACAGGGTGAACTAGAAATTCAGTTTAATGAGGGCAGATATGATATTGTTGCAAGTATGGAAACATGGTAGGATGAAACCCACAAATGGAACACACAGCTAGAGAGATTTAAATTATTTAAAAGAAACAGACCAAACAAAAGAGGAGGTGGAATAGAAATAGAGCACAACAATGATGAAAACTGTCTTGAATGCATTTGAGTCAATATAAAAGAGGGAAAAATGACATTGCCATAAGTGTATACTATAGGCCACCCAACCAAACAGAGGAAATAGATGAACTTTTTGCTAGTCAGCTAACTAAGGTATGTAGGAAGCACATCACAATAGTAATGGGGGACTTTAACTACCCTGGCACCAAGTGGAAGATCAAACAGATTCCTGACAAACCTAGCAGACAATTTTGTCTCCCCAAAAGTAGAGAAGGGAACTAGGGGTTTAACCATATTGGATCTAATCCTCACTAACAGAGATGAAATGATAGAAGGTATTAAAGCCACAGGAACCTTGGGGGGAAGTGATCATGCAATATTGGAATTCAACATTCTGGAAGCACAAGCAATAGAACACAGTCAAACTAGAGTCTTGGACTTTAAGAGAGCTAATTTCAATAAACTTAGATAGAGCTTGGGAAGGATTCCATGGATGAGAATACTCAAGGGGAAAACAACTCAAGCTTGGGAAATTTTGAAAAGTGAGATAATAAAAGCCCAGTCTAGCACAACACCAACAAAGAAGAAAAATAACAGCTCTCAAAAGAAACCAGCATGGCTGCATAAAGAATTCTCTGATAAATTGAAAGATAAAAAGGACAAGTATAAAAAGTGGAAAGAGGGGCACATAACTAAGACAGAATATCTGCAAATAGCCGGTGCCTGCAAAGATGAAGTGAGGAAAGCTAAGGCTCATAATGAACTAAGGCTTGCGACCAAAGTCAAAAATAACAAAAAAAGTTTCTTTCAACATGTAAAAAACAAGAAAAAAGTGAAGGAAATGATTGGTCCATTAGTGGGGAAGGTGACAAGCAACAGGGAGAAAGCAGAACTATTTTTGCATCTGTCTTTACACAAAGGGAAAAAACAGACCAACCTATCAAAAACAGTACCATAAAAAACAGATTAGAAACACGTTAAGATAGGCAAAAAAATAGTAAGTGAGCACCTGTCCAGCCTAGACGAGTTCAAATCACCAGGACCAGATGGATTACACCCCAAGGTTCTCAAGGAACTGGCAGATGTGATCTCGGAACCACTGAACTATATTTTTCAAAGATCCTGGATTACTGGGGAACTACCAGAGGACTGGAAAAGAGCTGATGTAGTTCCCATCTTCAAAAAAGGGAAAAAATAGATCCAGGAAACTACAGACCTATCAGCCTGATTGCAATACCTGGGAAGATTCTGGAAAAGATAATCAATCAATGAATCAGTGAACACCTAGAGGCAAACAAAGTCATTACTAAAAGCCAACATGGGTTTGTCATAAACAGATCATGCCAGAGAAATCTTATTGCATTCTTTGACCAAGTGACAAAATTAGTGGACCAGAGGAATGCTGTGGATATAATTTAGTTGGACTTCAGTAAGGCATCTGATAAAGTAGATCACAACCTACTACTTGATAAGATAGAAAAATGTGGGTTAGACAACATCAGCACCAGATGGATTCGTAGCTGGCTGACCAGCCACACTCAGCGTGTGGTCCTCATTGGAACTGCATCTACATGGAGGGAAGTGTGTAGTGGGGTGCCCAAGGGCTCTGTTCTGGGCTCAGTGCTCTTCAACTTCTTTATCAACAATTTGAACGAGGGGATAAATGGGGAACTCATCAATTTTGCAGACAATTGCCAGGAATAACCAACACTCCAGAAGATAGGCTAAGATACAGGAGGATCTGGACAGACTTGAACACTGGGCACTATCTAACAAAATGAAATTCAATGGTGAAAAAAGTAAGGTTCTACATTTAGGCAAGAAAAAACAAATGTACAGGTATAGTATACGTGGTACCTTGCTCAATAATAGTAACTGTGAGAGGGATCTTGGAGCCCTAGTGGACAATCACTTAATATGAGCCAGCAGTGTGCTGCAGCTGCCAAAAAGGCCAACACAGTGCTAGGCTGCATTAACAGAGGGATAGAATCAAGATCACGTGAAGTATTAATACCACTCTTCAATGCCTTGGTAAGGCCACACTTGGAATACTGCATCCAGTTTTGGTCACCACGATGTAAAAAAGATGTTGAGACTCTAGAAAGAGTACAGAGAAGAGCAACAAAGATGATTAGGGGACTGGAGGCTAAAACATATAAGGAACGGTTGCTGGAATTGGGTATGTCTAGTTTAATGAAGAGAAGGACAAGGGGGGACATGATAGCAGTGTTCCAATATCTCAGGGGCTGCCACAAAGAAAAGGGAGTCAAGCTGTTGTCCAAAGTGCCTGAAGGCAGGACAAGAAGCAATGGGTGGAAACTAATCAAGGAGAGAAGCAACCTAGAACTAAGGAGAAACTTCCTGACAGTTAGAACAATTAACCAGTGGAACAACCTGCCTCCAGAAGCGGTGAATGCTCCAACACTGGAAATTTTTAAGAAGAGACTGGACTGTCATTTGTCTGAAATGGTATAGGGTTTCCTGCTTGAGCAGGGGGTTGGACTAGATGACCTCCAAGGTCTCTTCCAACTTTATTACTATTATTATTATTATTATTATTATTATTATTATTATTATTATTATTATTGATCATCGCACAGTCAGCCAGATGTTCAGACTGGATTTGGCATTTTTGTCTACCTATCAAGTCCTTACCAAGGACTGGGATAGGCAAATGTGGATGTTTGATGGTATTATAGATATCATCACAGGATGGAAGCAGTTCCTAGTAAGGCCGCCTTTTGCAATTGACTAATGGCGAATTTGTCAATGCCAATGGTGTTCAAGTGGTGCTCTAGTTGTTTTGGGATTGCACCCAAGGCGCCTATTACTAGAGGTACTATCCTTGCTTGCTTTTGCCACAGTCTTTTAATTTCTATTTGTAGGTCTTTGTATTTTGTTATCTTCTCCAGTTCTTTCTCATCTATTCTGCTGCCTCCAGGCACTGCCACATCCACTATCCAGACTTTTTTGTCTTTCTTATCGACAATTGTTAAGTCCGGGGTGTTATGTTGCAGGTGCTTGTCTGTTTGAATTCTGAAGTCCCAGAGCAGTTTTTTATCATTTTCTATGACTTTCTCTACTACTACTACTACTACTACTACTACTACTACTACTACTACTACTATTAGCCACTAATAGCAATACAAACTGGTATTTTGTATATTGCTTCATTTATCTTCCTTGCCTAGTAGTTGGTGGCAAGTAAGAACTGGAATAAAGGGGGTCCACTTCAAAGGGTGTCAAAGCCCTTAACTAACTCACAATTTAGAAAGAGCGATTCTCATAGTTTCAGAGTAGGCAGATTCATTGCAATGAGCAAAGGATTAGGTTGCAGAATCTTGAAAACTGGTTTTATACACTTTGGTTCTCATTCATCAGCATGAATGTCTATTATGCTTGATCTTTTTTTCTAACTGACTCATTTAAAGGGAAGGATTCTAACTATTTCTCTGATACCAGAATTAATGGTGGTATAATAATGATAATAATAATGAAAATAATAATATATCAATATGATATATCTGCTCTTCTGCAATATTTTGGAAATTTCCATTTTCATTGCCAGAGCCAGAAAATTCCACTGAAAAGGGTTTCCTTCCAAGAAAGGCCACCATGTTCAGCTTCCAAATATATCAATATTCAAGGGTCTCATCTTCACCAGCAAAGTTATGCTAGCATTCACATGTATTTGTGCACCCATTTTAAGAGGTCTTGTGACAGACCATTTCTAAATAGATTGTGCCCAAAGAGTGAGAATAAGGTTGTGCTCAAAGTGGGATAGTAAGTTATTCTACCCATTATGGGGGACATATAAATTTAATAACGTAATAAATAAATATTATATACACTGTGAAACTGTTGATAAATGTAAATAAAGAGGATGAAGAAACAAACAGTCCATTTTATTACCAATTACATACATTAAGTCGCATCCAGTCTTCTAGTTCACTGCATCAGTCTAAGAAAAAAAGGGGATAAAGTATTATTTTTCAAATGTATATTGAAACTATACTTGAATTCAAAATATTTTTATCAACTTCTAATACTGGAACACCATTACATCACTTTGTGGAAAATAATGGTAGTACAGTCGACTTCTTTTTCTACAGTGCATACAGATTTTCTCCCCACATCAGGGTAATGTATACTAGTGCAGATGATTTATAAAAAGGGACAAGACAAATACATGGAACATAAATCTATGCATTTCTACTTGTTCAAATACCTAGACAGAAATTACATTTCCATTCCCATTTATTTAAAGGCAGAATATCTTGGGATTTCAGATCACTGGGACCAAAGAAACCTGCTTCATGTTAAAGCAGAGCAAGAGCCTATCTAACTTAGCTTTGCTGAAAATCAGACTTCAACCATACAAGAACTTTTATGGAACTCCCCACCCCTGCCCACACAAGGCAAAGGTAACTCCCTGGCCTTTTGGCAACTCATCCAAATTTAGTTGTTATGGACAGTGTTTAGTACTTTAGCACTTTAGAGCTGCCACTACCAAGAAAATATTAGTTATAATTTTATAATTATGTATGTAATTCTGTCATTGTACCTTATTGCATATCATTGTTATTGCAATGGCTACACATGTAATCTGCTTGGACTTAAATTTAGCTAAAACAGTTTAAAATTTTTGAAATGAAATTCATTACAAGGCAAGATCAAGTTTGCCAAAATGCCAGCTTGGGTTGAGATAACTCTAGCAATAAAGACCTAACTGATAGCAATAAACTATAAAGGACTTGTAGTGCATCATATTTAAATATTAATACACGATATTACATTGCCTTACGGTGCAATGCTGTTTATATCTGCATGTTTAGTTTGTCGGGGATTAAAAACTAAACATGAGGATTAGAGGGAAAATCCACGGAATTTGGCATTCTATTTTCAACAGTGGTCAGCCATATTTCTAGGAACCTCACAAACCTGAAGAGGATGAGCCTTCCCTGATAGCTCTCATCCTTTTGACACAAGAGACTCTTTTGCTAATGCTTTCCGATTCCTTCAATTAATGGAACTTGTAGGGCTTGTGGCCAAAGGTTGTAAGATGAAAGTCTCTTCAGAGTGCCAGTCAAGCAACAATACCTTCTTCCAAACATTCTACCCCTTCACATTCTTTTAGTTTATTCCACAATCAGCATTCTACAGAGGCTGAGCATATTCAGTTTTCACTAATTGTTCAGCATCTGAATTCTTATTTTACTGTTGCTCTGTATGGATTTTTTTTCTAATCTCTGTTTCCCAAAATTAATTTATATTCTTACAATTTTTCCAAACACAACAAATAGTGGAAATAATCTCTTTAACTGGTTGGCAATTCAAAATGCAAGATTTGTAGACATGTTGGGGGTACAAGAAACAAAAATTCAGAATTAAGCATCATTGAAAAGAAGGAAAACCACACAAACCCAAGCAGGAATAAATCCTTTAAGGCTGCAAATTAGTCAAGCACTGGCCAGCCAAGCCAAAGCATAAACTGATCAAAAAGAATGTGAAGAGCTAAGGCAAATAGCTCTTTTGCACATGAGACAGAATAGATGCAGGCCCACACGCAACAGCAGCTTATCAGTAGGAATTCTGGTGCCTGCAGCCACGAAAGCGGCAGTGCTCTAAAAAAAGCAGACAAATAGCATATACTACTCTACTTTATCAACTCCTTCTTCATTTTAGCTTGATATGAGACTTCCTTTCTACTGTCTTCCTTAGCTGCAATGAGAAGAAAGTCAATGTTCACTGGGGATAAAATTGTTCTCTCATTTATTGTTTCAGAGGCTATTTCCCTCACCCATGAAACTAGTGTGTTATTGCACAAAATGTGGGTGCACAATCTGAATTTTCAAAGCCACAGGTGGTCCTCATGTCCTCCCCAAAAGTTGCCAATGAAAGCTAATTTAATAATTGTTTTCTTTGGCCACACTAAAAGGCTTCAACTCCCCTTTAGCCATGCCAGTTGGATATTATTGACAATACACTAAATACACTAAAGTGGTCCAATAAATCTAGAGGGTACCAGCTTGGGGAAAGAAAGCTGAAATTAATGTGTGACCAAGGAATGTACAAGATAAGTGCTTGCAAAATATTTTTGTACATTTTTAAAAACAAACTTATGTGTGAAAACAACTCAACCCTGCAATTGAGACAGAACCTGCTAGTGATCGTTGCTTCTTATAACAACATCACTTCCCAAGGTAAATTCAACTTTAAATTCTGATTGTATTCATCTGCATGGCCCTTGAATCAGAAGGTCATTGATGTTATCAATATTACCCTAGAACCTTCATGAGATAAGGGCTCCGAGAATCCTTACCTGTGGCATTTCTTTTAGGAAGTCAGGTAGTTGAAATTCACCTTTATAAACCTGGGAAAAAAGAAAACAAACTTTGAAACAGAAGCCATGTTCCAAATATTAATATTTTCCAAGGGCCGATTACACTCAATACCTGGTTGTGGTCCAAAATACCTGATAGAAATCAGATTATCATGTTACACTGAATATTAAGCTGATATAGAGGGGCTGCAGGAAAAGAGAAGGGAACAGCCTACACATATGATCCAATCTACTTCACACTCTTTCTATTGGTCCTTTGACATTCAGGAGAGGCTTTTATGAGGAAGAAAGTCCTACAAAGAGTACTTGTTAAGGAAAGATAAACAATCATCAACATTGGAAATGTTGCAGGACTAGCAAACTTTTATTCCCCAGATAAGAATCTGGGGTTTGAATAGATGTAGGGATTCAAGGAAGGGCAGGGAGGAAAGCTGCCCTGAGTAAACAGGTCAACCAATTTCTGTAGAATGGTAGCACCGCATCATGGCCTTTGGGTGATCTCAAAAACTAAGCTGGATAGTCCAAAAGACTTCCTAAAAAGTTAAAGCAGACCACTTCCTTGTTGTTACCAAAATAACTTCTGAGATGTATATATTCATAAAGTCACTAAGAACTGAGCTCAACTCATCAAGTCAACAGGAGAGCTGCTGTTACAAAACCATGCAGGGTACTTTTACTCACACATTTCATTCATTTTCTTTCCAGGTTAATGCCAAACTCTGTTGTGCATTAGATGTGATTTCTACAATGCATTTACTGTTGTATATTACTGCTACCTGTGGTACTGTTTGAAATGTTGCATTTATCATGAACCATAGAGGAAGAGACAGAGAACATATCCAAACTCTAAATGAATTGGATCTTAAATCCCAGAAGAGTTAGGTAGCAAGGCCAAAGAGAGTTAATATCCCAATGCACATGCACATCATATAGGGGGAAACTGTGTTATACCAGACCCGTTTGAATGGGAGGGTGCTAAAAGACCTTTATCAAACGCAATCCTTCTTTGAAAGACTCAGCAGTGACTTGCACAATCCCCAATCCCAAGATTATATACTTCTAAAAACAGTTGTCTTTTTTTTTTGCCCACCACATTCTATAAAGCACCCAAACTTTACAATAGCATCAGCTTCATTTACACATACACACACATTCAAAAATATAACTTGGCAATTTACCCTTCTTGTGTTTTCAAGGACTTTCTGATCCGGCTTCCCATAATTGGGTGGGTTGGCATAGGGGTCATAGCCAAGTTTCCCCAACATTGGTGCAATCACTGGCATATCCTGAAGAACATCAGTGGGGATTTTTCCAACCCATTTCGACAAGGCTTCCACATTAACTGGCTTAATAACTTGGTCCGTAGATCTTTCAACTCTGCCCCAAAATATATGCATGCATATATTAATTGATATAGTTGCATGAAAGTTATTCTCACAAAATAATGAAATGCAAGCCCCTCTTGTTTTTTGTTAATCTTGCACACTGGAGAAATGGTATGTTGCTATGTTCATACATCTTTGAGTTGGAGAAAACTGAACCAGCGTATATAGAATCTGTACTATCCCCATTGCTATTTCTTATTTTATTGCTTTTGTTTCCAGTCATTGCCAATCCCCAGTAAATCATAGTCCTATACATTTTGTGTGGTTTGAGGGGCCTTTTGATAGGGTCAGAAGGAGGGGAAGAGGAAGGAAATCTTATGATGATCTGAAGCCATCACTGTCATAGAGTGGAGATGAGAAGAAAGCAATGTCATTGGGTCACAAAAGAAGAAAGATGTTGCCAAAACATGTTTGTTACATGTTGTTTGTAATATGTGCACCATGTTAAGTGCAAGTAAAGAAAGGCCCTTAGATATAAAAAAGGGTCTTCAAGATCAGAGTATGTCACATATGTATATTGATGGGAAATAATGCATTTTCCTCCCACCTAGAATAATGAAGTCTTATAGGACAAAAATGGCATAAAAATGGGGGGAAAAGTTTGGGGTTTAGTCACATTTTTCCTATTTTTTTCCCCAAAGAATAAAAGTCTTTAAAAAAACTGATGAAATCTTTTCTTTTAAAATATTTATGCAGTAAAATAATGCTTATTGATAACTACTGTTCATTTTGCTCCAAATCTAATACTTGTAATTTACCTACAGAACCAAAATGCTATCATTTTGATGCTTAAATGACTACATAATAATAGAATAGAATACAATAGAATAGAATAGAGCTGGAAGGGACCTTGGAGGTTTTCTAGTCTAGCCCCCTGCTCAAGCAGGAAAACCTATACCATCTCAGACAAGTGTCTATCTAGTTTCTTCTTAAAAACCTCCAGTGATGGAGCGCCCACGATTTCTGAAGATTGTCTTTGACTTACTACAACAATGAAGCCCAAAATTTTAGCTGCTAAGCAAGACAGTTAAGTGAGTTGTGCCTCATTTTAAAACCTTTGGTGCCACAATCATTAAGCAAACCACTGCAGTGGTTAAGTGAATCATGCAGTCGTTAAGTAAATCTGGCTTCCCCTATTGACTTTGCTTGTCAGAAGTCAGCTGGGAAGATTACAAATGGTGATTGCTTGACACCGGGACCTGCAACAGTCATAAATACATGCCTGTTGCCAAGTGTCCAAATTTTGATCCTGTGACCATGGGGATGTTGCAACGGCTGTGAAGTGTGAAAACCAGTCATAAGTCACTTTTTTGAATAGTTGTAAGTTGAGGACTACCTGTATTGGGTAAAAGAGTATGAAGCTTGCCTCAGTGAGCAAATCTCTTATTTTAAGAATTAGAAGTCCATCAGGAAGGTAAAAATAATTTTTCAGAAAATGCAGAAACTTGTAGTAAAGTAATAATAGCTCAGAGATTAGGCAGTATTTTTCCATGAAGAATATATTCTTCCTTGATTTCCTTAGCTGTTTTTTTAAAAATGTAAACACATGAAAAATTTAAGAGAATATATAATCCTATTTAAATGTCATGTTGTCCTTATTTTCTCTTCTCAGTCTTATTTATGCGACCAAATCAAACTGAAAAAATTAAGTTCCCAGCTTTCTTAGAGTTCAGTAGCTCATACTTTCATTTGTAACAAAAAGTTTCAAAAAATTTAACTTAATAAATGTACATTATTGTATAATTAGAACTTTACATTTAATAAATATGCAAAAATGATAGTTTTTAATGAGTAAAGCAAGATATGTGAAGGATAAAATGACAGTTTATGTTCCTAAAGCAGATATGTGAAGGATAAAATGAATACAATTATTGCATAGATTTCCAATTTTCCTCCAGAAAAAAAACAAGAATGTTTTTTTTTACAGCAACCAATCCAGAACTTTATACCTCTGTTGCATCTATTTCACTTTCCTCTAGTCTAAATGATCTCATCTACCTTTAGCAGGAGAATGTAACCTGTTGAGTCTCTTCAGCGTCAAGAGCATGGCTCTTACATTATTTCAAAGTCATGATTAATTGTAATTTTTGAAGCAATGGGAGGAAAAAAATTATTAAGTCATTAAGGAACAATCTTGTTAATTGGATTAGCCAATATGATTTTAACTGCATTTTAAATTAAATTTGTTTTGTTAGATTTATATCAAAGAAAAACAAGAAAGTCCAGTTGCCTCCTGAAAAAGCATCCTTGGGATTTATAACAAGTCTTTTTTTCAGAAGTTGAAGGCAACATACCAGGGCTGTCCCCTGACTCTGTGAGATGAAAAAAAACAACCAGGGTTACTTAATGAGTTTCCATGGCAGAGGATGGATTTGAAAATGTTCCAATATTTTAACTGTAAATGTTGATCCATATTAACCTCAGTTAACAGTAATCAAATGCAGCTTGTTGCACAATGCATGCTAGGTCATTAATTGACCTGGTAAACACAAGTTATGTAAATATACCCTGGCTTGTCACTGAGAAAGGACAGACACAGCCATTACTAATGGCCTGATTGAATATGCATTAATATACCAAGAATTCAGGATTACCTAATGAAACAAATTATCATATGTTTTGGATAGATGGAAGAAAATTCTTCATCTCCGTGTTTCATTGCACCCTGGAACTTACCATCAAAAGTTTTTAATGGACCACCCAACTCGACAATTTTAATGAATAATCAGGCATGTTCACAATGAAAGAAAGAGAAAAATGTTACTGTGGTCAGTCGCCATGATGGACTAATTAAACCTCCCTGCATAGAGGCAGTCTTATTTCTCAACAGCTCCCAAAGCATCTGCTATGCTTACTATAGAAGCAGAGGTGTCTGGTATTTGGATCCAAAGTAAGAAAGATGCTTCAGATTCAGCAGCTTGTTAAAAAAAAGACCATGGAAACTCAGGAAAAGCCAAAGCATCCTGAAAGAAGCTCCAACAGGCACTGCAAAGCACCTTTTCCAGCTTCAGATCCACATCTGAATGGCTGAATTTCAGATTCTCTGCTGCCAGTAGGGAGGAAAAGAGCAATCAAGCATCATCAGGTAGGGCTGGAAGAAAATTCTATCTGAAATCCAGGAAGTCTGCTGCCAATCCCTGTTTTGGAGCCAGACAGACCAAAAACATGACTTGGTATTAAGCTTCTTCCTCTTTCTCCAAGAAGCCTTCAAACACAGGACAGCAAATAGCATTCTCTCCCCCCTCACAAAAAAACCACCCTGTACATTCCTCTTCAGATTGCTTCTGTCTGTGGCTCTGCTGACAATAATAAAGGGAAAAAAATACGGTTTCCGCTCCTTCCTTAAAAAAAAAAATATGACATTCTCCCCACCAGCTCCAGCTGTTTTTTATTAAGAAGAGGGCAAATGCCAGAGTTAGAGTGCTAGTTATGGCAAGACTCCATGCACCCAGCCTGTCCGCCAAGAGCCACGTTGGCAATGTGTTTCAGCCACAGCACATCTTGTGCTGCCTTGAGTTACTGCCAGTTCAAGCAGCCTCTTTTCACATCAGTGTCAATCCAGATTTGTTTTCTGGATTTTTGGGGGGAGCGGGGTGAAATGAAAATTGCTACAGGACTGGCCTTGTCATTCAAACCATAATAAACGAGCTGGGCAGCAGGGATCCACTATGGAGGTTAAAAATTTCTTTGAGTAAGGCTTGGACAATCTCTAGGTACTACTCTAAGTAAATATTGCTCCATAAGAGTGTGGGGGGAGCAATTGAGTCCAATGAAATCAGAGGACAAATTGGACTGCTAAGTTTATGAAATATTCTCCTTACCCTATGTGTGCATATACATACCCACAGCACAACCAGGGTGTAAACAATTTCCATCACAGCACAACCAGGGTGCAAACAGTTTCCATTTGCTAAGCATTCTTTTTAATGGTCTAAACAAGCAAGCTTTAAATCAGTACATTAATTGGGAGTTTATCAAATTTTCTCTTTTCGTCTAAAAATAGGGGAAAACCTCTCTTCATATCCAGGGAGGCCTAATTTTAGGGAAAGGGGGAGGAGAAAGGGGAGGATTATGTGTTACAAATCTGCATATGGAGGCATGTATGCAATCAATAAGAATTCTAGCTAAAAGGAGAATGGCTTAGAACAGTCACACATGATACAATACTGTAGATAGGGAGTTCCTCAGTTCTGCTGCCTTTCAGATCATGAATAATTGAATTATCCAAATAGAGCTGATGACATTGAAGAATTGCCCCTACCCAGAAGAAGTTGATCATACAGAGATGCAGCAGGCATTCCCCTTGCCATTTTGGCAGAGCATATATATTCCTTATGACCAGCTGTTATTTTCTTGTCACCAGTACCAACCACACTGTGGCATGTAAGTTGGGACTGATCAGCGGCTTCAATGCCATAAATAGTATTTACAGTTAGCATCTAAGCCAGCAGTAAACCACCAGGATCAATTTTTGTCAATGGAGCCAATTCTTTCCACCTCTTTAAGAAAGCAATCAAGATACTCCTGTTTGGTCCAGAATTTTGGATTAAACCATAATGATTTTAAGGATTTTTAATTGTTTTATGTTTTTTTGTTTTCACTGTGAACTGCCAAGTATTCATTAGGTAGAAAAAACCCACAGGGCAATTTCTCTGTTAGACTAACTCAAATTCCACAAAATTCCTGCAAGTTTTTGTGCTTCAAATTTGAAATGATTTTTTAAAATTTTAGTTTGTATAACAGAAGGGATTTTGTTTTCCCTGTGATTGACATAGCTACTGTTTTCTATAAATCAAACGGTTGATGTGAATGTTTAAAAATACTTCCCATCTCCTTTTAAAAAGCAGCATTCTGAAGAGGAGAAATAATGTTTGAGATCTACTATACTTTGGTACTTAATAATCAGATGTCTCTCCTATTTTCTTTTGCTGTAGTCTGCTGCATATTTGCTCTGCTTAAGACAAATAACTACAAAGAAATCAAAGTGTTGTCTCTCTCTCTTTCTGCACAGCACCAGCATTTTACATTCTGTTTTGGGATTGCAGATGAAATCACAAAGTAAAGAGAGACTTGTTTATCATTCAATCTTGATCTGACTGGTGAAAAATGATTCTGCTGGTTTATCACAAAACAATATTCTTACTAACAATAAATATTTATAGTCTTGAAGCATACTACAGGGAGGCCATTGTTATCATAAGGAATGGATGCACTGAAATGATGAAAAGCTCCATGAGCTTAACTGCCTGCTGCATCTCTGCATGAATTACTGCCCTTGTTTTATTCTTCTCTTTAGCTTCCACTCGGGCAGGAGAACAGTAGGAAATTTTCAAATGGGTTAGGGTTAGGCTAAGCCCAACTCTCAAGGGAGTCAATCCCATAACAACAATCATTCCTACAAAAGGCAGTCCTTCCTCCATTCATCTCCCCCCCCCCACATGCATATACACACATACACATCAAGCCTGTGAAGAAGGTTGAATTCATGGGTATCCTTTTACCTAATTTACATATAATTTTAAAATAATGCCATTTTAGAAATGGAGCTTTCCGCATGGAAAATGTAACAACAGAAAAATGTTCCATCCTGCATCCCTATCCTTGAAGCTTCCTGCAGTGAAGGGTAATTCCTGGCATCTGTACATGAGGATGGTTCCTAATTTCAGAAATGTTTTGTAAGGATCATAATTTCTGGAAAAAAATGGCTGAGGTAGAAAAATATTTTTGTTTTTCTGAATTTTGCAGGATACATTTTTGTAATTGTTATGTGTAACCCTGGCCATAGAAAAACATCCCAGCCCTTTTTGAGTATTTTAGAGGAAACAAACAGCTGGACAAACTGTGTTCTACTAAAGGCTTTCTAACCCCCCCCCCCCCAAGAAGAAGCAGACTCACTTTGATAGGGACACTCCCCCAGCCTTCCCAATCATTTCTTCATGATGCAGAACTGCAGGATTCCACGGGATGTGGAGGAACTTGAGGAGTGTCCTGAGCCACTGCTCGGGGTGCAAGACCAGCTGCTCATAATACATCATCATGCAACGGTCAAGGCCAGCCTCCAAGCACTGGTTATACATGATCTCAATGGCACGATTCCATTTGGTCAGGCAATCCCTGTAGCTATTCAGATCAAAGCCAGCAATGGTGACCTTCCTGGAGATCATGGAATGAACGGAGGCCCGGCCATCTCTGACCATTAAAATAAACTTGGCATTGGGGAAAATCCTAGCAAGGTAAGTTAAAGACTTGAGGGCAAAGGGGTCCTTGTTGCACAGGTAAGGAGCTGGCTCCCCATGTTTCACAATAATTTCTAAGAGGAAGGCCTGCATGGCCGAGTCCAGCACCTCATCTGTGACACCTGCCTCATTGAGCCGCATTTTCTCTTTGCTTGATCGGGCCCACATCTGCTTGACAGCCAAAATCCGAGGGATCACCCGTGTCTCTTCTCCACAGCGGATGTCCGGGTGAGCATCTAGCATTGCCCGCATCAAGGTGGTGCCACTCCGGGGTACTCCCCCAATAAATATTAAAGGCATGTCTTTGTTATAAGCCAGTGTGGCATTTTCCTTTGTGCCCTGGCTGCTTCTCGTGGTTGCTTTGGCTGGCTCTAGTCGGGTCAGTTGGCTTCTTTCCTCTATTTGGTGATGGCATTCCATAGCATGTTGCCCCAAGTAGAAGACAGTCACTGAACTAATCACCAGACAGACCAGCAAGAGGTTCTGCTTGAGTTTCCCTATCATCTTTTGTAGAGAAGCCACCTCATGCGGTTGGAGGTGGCTGGCTGGCCCAAGTCACTGCCTGTGTTTCATGCCTTGGAGAATGTGGTCCCTAGAGATCAAGGCTTGCTGGAACAGAAGAACAAATAAAGGAAACAAAGGAAAAGAATAAATCAGAGTACTGTGATTAAATTTAAACAGGTTCTTTCCTCCCAAGCAACATTCCAGCTATTAAAATGATAATACTCTCAATCATCAATGATCCAGAGTTAGTGGGATCCAACACAAGACTGTAATTGGGAATATCTACAGAGATTCTCAGTCATCCAGGTCATGGTTGTCCCAAAGATGTTTTTTCAAAGGGCAACTGGACTTCGTCAGTTCTTGGATGAGAAGCGATACGTCTTCAAGGAAAATAAAGAAAGTCCAGTTGCCTCTTGAAAAAGCATCTTTGAGATAGTAATTGGGAAGATCCAGATTCACCCCCCCCCCAAAGCCATGAAAAGACCCAACCCACTCATGGAGTTGTTGTGGGAATAAAAATGAAAGGCAGGGGGGATATAGAGGAAAAATTACATATTACCTTGAGCTTGTTGAAAAAGTCAGAATATAAAGATAAGAACTAAACAAATACAGCAGTATCTCAGTACTCCACTGTTTCAAAAATTGTCAAATTTGGTACTCAACACATTTTAACATAAAAATGTTGTCCCAGTACTCATTGTTTGTTTGGTCTTGACACTCTGTGACAGGAAAAAGGAGACAGCCACAGAGAACAGACAAGACGTTGGCTATGCAGGGAAGGTTGCTACAAAAGGAAGAGGGGGACAGCTACAGAGGGTGGACAGGAAATCAGCCATGCTGGGAAGGTCACTGACATAGGAAAAGACACAGACAAGAAGTCTTTCCCAATCAAAACAAAAGGTCACATAGTAAGTCACATGGTTGGTTTGGTACTCATCGTTTTTAGTACTCAACGTGCCTCACGGAACCAATTAATGAGTAGCGGGGTACCACTATAAATAATTTTCAGAAAGTCCTTGATAATAAGAGATAGTCACAGCTCATGGGCACAGCATGAGATCAAGGAACCTATACCCTAACGAAGTTCATAGAGCCACAATCCTCATCATCACAATTAGGCCATGCTGGCTAAGGATTCTGGAAAGAAGAATCTCATCTATTCTTCTCAAGACAAGAAAGCCACAAGTTTCTACATTTTGATGGCAAGAACTGTGAGAGTTTGTTTAATTAATGTATTTAGTATTTAGATTTATTCATGGTTTATATATTTTTTTTTAGATTATTTGAAGAAATTTTAATTAAGCCTATGTCTAGCTCTGGGAAGGTTGGGGGTGGGAATGGGAGGGTTGGGGAGGTTTGGGGATGGGTTGTTTTGTTTTTTTGTAAAATTTTAAAAACTTAATAAATATTTACAATAAAAAAAAAAGAAAGCCACAAGTTTCTACATTTTGATGGCAAGAACTGTGAGAGCGGAGAATGATGCCTCAGATCAATACATGATTCAATTCAATATATGCCAAACCAGAATTTAACCAAATAATATAGGTACACACAATAGAATGAACCACAACGAACATAATCAAGCTTAACACCAACACAATTTAGCATGTTGTTGAATATCACCCTAAAGTTCTCCGCTGTTGAATCTATGGAGATGGTTTAGTACATCCACATAACAAGTGTGGGATTCAGCCAGTTCGCACCAGATCAGTAGAACTGGTAGCTAATTTTTTGTTGTCCAGGCCCAGAATGGACTTCCGGAAGTGGCATCCACACAGAGAAACGGTTGTTCACATATTTGAATCCCACCACTGCACATAACCTGTGTGTGTTTCAGGACATTAATGTATCTCTGAGTTAATAGGATACAGGCAACAATATCCTGGTTTGCAAGATATTCTCTAGATTAGAGCTCTTAATTTACAGAGGATAACATGAACATGCCTGAAGTAAAACTGAGATTTAATTGCACTTGTAGTCCACCAGCCCAAACTGACCAGTACTATTTTTGCTGTAAGTAGAGGATGCTATGCATGGCAATGTGCAACTAAGGCTGGAAGCATTTCTATACCTTTTCTGTTTCACTGAAAAGTATTATGTGAAAGTTTTTACTGATCAAAGACACCCTAAGGAATGAAGGTATATATCTGTATGCTCAGCTAATACAGTGTTTTCCAATTTAGCAACTTTGAGATGTGTAGACTTTAACTGGCTGGAGAATTCTGAGAGTTGATGTCCACATATCTTAAGATTGCCAAATTTGAAAAAAGCTGATCTAATAGCAACCAAACATATGGAAACAATAGAGAAATTGCAGAGTGTTTTGGATGAAAATAAAATTTATGTTAGAAGAGGGTGAGAAGAGCTAAACAAAAAACATCAAGCAGAGATAAAAATTAAAAATAAAAATAATGAAATCATTTGGGACAAATGTTAGATTAGAATATGGATGTGGTTTGCTAACAGAGTGTCTGTACAACTCATTTAATGAGTTTGTGAAGACTTCCTCTCTGGCTTTTGATTAGAAGACATAATCTTTTGCGAGAACTGAATATTTGTCAAAAGAAGCAAAAATGATACTGTGTAAGTATCTTACTTTCTTATATGGGTTCACTAGGTGGCTTCACTAGGAGTAACAAAAAAGTAAATTGAATGTAATGGAAAAGGGCTACTCAAGAAGTATGTAGTGCAAAACAAGAAGAGACAGAATCAAAAATGAATGAGTAATGAATGTGAACTGAATACAAGAGTATGAAAAGGCATGCTTCACAAATTTGCGTGTTTGAGGTAATTTGATTTGAACTGAATTTGATGCTGAAGTGGTTCATCACATAAAGAGAACGAATTAGTATACAACTGCAAAACAAATATCTGAAAAGCAGGAAAGGAAAGACCAGGAAGTTTGAGGTTAACTGGGATTGTGAAATAGGCAAAAGGAGAGAGACAATAAGTTTAAAGAACAAGAAGCACTGTACAGAGCAGTAGATGGATATGAAAGAAGCAAAAAGGATTTTGCAAGGATAGAAAGGCATGGAGGACTGTAGTGGAGGGTATGGGTGTACTGAATTATCTGTATTTATTTTTCTTTTTTCTCAGTTTAATTTCTTTGACCTGCTATGTCTAACTTCTTTTCTATGCATAATGTTGCTTACTGTGGAAAGGTTCAGCCAAAAGGGGTATGAACAAATGTGTATTCCTTGTGCTTTACCATCTTACTAGATTGAATTGTGTCCCCAAATCACATTTGATCACTCTCCTTACATATAATTGGAAATAAGGCCTAGATGCAGTTTACAAGTCTCTGAGCAGCCCAGTTATAACACAAGATTAATAACTGGTTCTAAACCAACAGCTGTATCATTGCTCCTAAAAACAAATTAAAAATCTAGCCTTTTTATCTTCCATTTAGAAGCAACTATCTCCGGTTACACTTACGTTACAATCCAATGTTCTGGGATGGTGTCCAGGAAGCCATAAATTCAGTCAGATTTTCCCTCTGAAGAGCAGAGTTGGGGCTCTAATCTCCCAAGGGAAAAGCCAGTAACAGAATTTAGAGCTGCCTCTATGGGAGGCTCAATAACCATCATGAGGAAGACCAAAGCGGAGATTGCGGCAAAAGCTGAGCTAGGAGCATTCCAGGATAAGATGTGGTTTTGTTTGCTTGGCCCCCAAACCAGCAAAGATGCATGTATCTATTATTTTTATTTTATTTATTTCTGCAATTTATTTGTTGCTCAACCCCAAACAAGGTTCTAAACAGTTACCAAATATTGCAAAGAAGGAAATAAAAACAAAACCATTAATAAACATAAAATCTTCCTATTTCCCAACATACCCCCCCCCCCAAAAAAAGTAGTACCTATTCTTTTTGAACTTTGGTATTGGAAAAGATTGCTTTAAATATTGTGGACAAGTAAGAAAACAAACCAATGGATCATTGAACTAATCAACCCAGAGTTCTCAATAAGGACACAAATGACCAGGCTATTAGCATTCTATTTCAGACATATTATGTGAAGATCTCTCTGGAAAAAGTTCTGATGTTAGGAAAGGTGGAAAGAACGAGAAGAGGATGGCCTGAAGCAAGGTGGATAGACTTTGTTACAGGATGATGGGTGCACCATTAGGAGACTTAAAATAACAAGACAGATCTAGATCATCATGGAGAAAATGTGATCACTAGGAGTCAAAAATAATTTAATGGCACATAACTGATCAAACTATCACTAACTACAAGGAAGGGACTTAACTGTCAAGCACCAGAAAAAACAGGAGATCCAGACAGTTCAAATGGATATAAAGATTTATTGTAAGCTTGAACTCTCTGTAAGAATCTGAATTACTAACAGCTAAGGAAATTGGCAAAAGATAAGAGTAGAAGGAATTCAAGGTGGGCTGAACTTAGACCTCTTGTGGGCACGAAGGGACTCATGACTGATGATGCGTTTGATCCCTCCCTCGGACTTAGCCTGATCATCTCCTACACCAGCATGCTATCAATCCCTAAAGTATTTTCTCTAAACCTGGATGTATCCTTGAAGTCACCAGGGCTGTAATTTAATTCAAAGAATTATTCATCTCTGGCTATCAAAATTAATGTCCTCTTAATGTTTGCAAAGGGGAAGAGGGAATGCTATCAGAGGGACATCAGATTCACATTCTAAATTCCATCCTGCAGTTGAAAAAACGGAGAAACCCAAATTCCAAAATCAGGGCCTTTCAAGATGAAGCACAAATCTGCACTGTTAGAAGATGAAGGGCTAAACCATTAAAGGCCCCACACGGAGATGAACTGTCTCATTTCTTGGATCATCCCACTAGCATGTTTTCATTTCTTACTTTGAAATTACATTTAATGGAATGTAGACCAACAATTTCTATGATACAATTATCAAAGATGTTTCAATCAAGAAGCAAAATAAACCAAACAAGTCTCCACACATAAATGGAAAAGGGTCCGATTATATAAAGAAGTTCATCTGGGGAAGATAGGAGTACTGGATCACTGTCTTATAGATGGCTGTTTAAAAAGCCC